AGTGGAACCCCCTAACAGAAGCTCAGAAAGACCTTCATGTCACATGAATTCCCAAAGGAATTCACAGTGTTCTTTTAATGACTCCATATTCATAGTGTGTCCGTGGCTAGTTGCACAGGGTGTGTACTGAGGTTTGATTTTATCTACTTGTTCACAAATTATGACATGATTAATTCAGGTGGTTTTTCTAAAGAATTCTGAGAAAACACGTGTAGACATGGTAACCTATATCAATCACATGCTTGGTTAGTTTAGACAAAAATGTTATTTTAATATTTTTTCCTCTTTTGGATTGACCTGTCAATTCATTTCAAATGGCTAAGGAAGTAGTCTCATATAGATAAGACTTATACTGATAATAGCCTGTTGAGTTTCCTAAATTAGTTCTTATAGAGCCAAAATGAACACATTGGGAAATTTCAGTACTGTCTAATGCTGGCCCAGGGGTGATCTGTACAATTCAAGTATATTGGTAATTCCCATTATTAAGCAAGTTCACACTATTTGAAATTTTCTGCCTCTCCTGTGATGCCCACCTCCTTTTTACATGGAAATAACTGTCTAAATCTTTCTTTTATGAAAAACTTCCTTGCCAGCTAAGGAAGAGATTCCAAATGCCTTGGTTCTTTCTTGCCTGAGCATTCATCTGTGATCATCACCCTGAAAAATGCTGATCTGCTCCTTTCTGTGGCCCATGTGGCAGCTAAGTGGATTCTGAATTCTTTTTAGGCCTGCTTACCTCCACATTTGCCTTAGAGGAAGCCTGCCCCGGGGAATGATTCTGTTACTGGTGTCACTTTCCACTTGATAGACACCAAAGATTTAGGTATATCAGCACATCCCGGGTTGTGCTAATAAGTACAAAAAGAAAAGTTACTCTGATATTTAACCTAAATTTTTTCTAAACTACAAAAAAGGGGGAGGAGCTAGTTTTCAGTGGGTGATTTTAGAAACATTAATTGAACTAATAAAAGCCAACAGTGGTTAAGCACTTAACAAAAAAGCCAAAATAGATATAGTATCTACTGTGTACCTGAGACACAGAGAAGTCAGACAATTTGCCTAAGCTGGTTAATGGTAGAAGTAGAGTCAGAGCCCAGACCTGGTCTTTGAGCTTGTGCTTTTAACTGCTGTGTAGTCAGGGTACATAAGCTGCTTCAGAGCCTGGAAAGTACTGACTGTATATATGTGTGTGTGTGTGTCTCCGTTAAATATATATATGTATCATATATATATATATATATATATATATATGTGTGTGTGTGTGTGTGTGTGTGTGTGTGTGTGTGTATAAGAAATGTAATATATATATAGATATAGATAGACATAGATATAGAATTGATAAAGATATAGATTGAGTATCCCTTGTCCAAAATGCTTGGGACCAGAAGTACATTAGGTTTTCTAGTTCTTAGGATTTTTTAAATACTTCCATAGAAAATTTACGAGTTAAGAATCTCTCGTCCAAACATCTAAAAATCAAAAAGCTTATGATTTTGGAGCATTTTGGATTTCAGGTTTTCAGATTTAAAAATACTTGACCTGTGTAGATATAGAGATAGATACACATACACAGACCTTTTTTATTTCTTTTTTCTAATCATGTTATGGGCTTAGGATCTTTGATGAGAAGACAGTGCTTTGAGCCATGCAAGTCAGGGAAGGCTTCACTGGGAACCAGAAGTTAAGTGGGGAGGAGGGAAAGGCCCTCCGTGAAGTGCTATGGTAAGGACACCAGGCAGAGAGGCACGAGACCTGGGGCAGGTCCTTCCTCTTTGCTTGGGACCAGACATTCGTTGAGGCTCTCGGAGTCTCACTTTCATCACTATAAATGAGGGAGGTTGGTATATTCATAATACTCAAATGTGGATGGTGATCACATTCATATGGAGGGCTTCCTCAGAACATGAAGGTCTGTTTAAAGCACACCCAGGCGACTTTAAGTTACTGTGAAGATAAAGAATCAATGGAGCAGGTGATCTCTTAGGTTCAATAGAAGATATGCCAAAATCCACCCAGTCTGGTTGGAATAGTGGGTCCCAGGGTGTTTGTGGAATGTCAGTCAGAACCAGATTGTAGAGAGTTTTGATTGAGTCTATCTGTAGGCAGTTGAGCATTAATGAAGATTTCTACCTCAGGGACAATGTTGAAAGCAGTGCTCATAGAAAACTTTCTTTTAATTGTCTGCATGTAGTACAAAGAGAAGAAAGAGTAACTAGAAGCAAATGTGTAAAATAAAAGTGTGAACTGAGGTGTTAACAAGCAGACAGAGAAAGGTGCACTGTTGATGGCAGCAGTCTGATAGTACTATAGGACTCTCTCCCCTGTGTTTAAATAGGGGATAATTATCAGAGGAACATGTGCTACAATGGGCATATGAAAAAGAATACTACTAAAATCTGAAACAGTTTGAAATTAAGTTTAATTTCACATGCTAATCATGTTGTAAAGTTCTATTTGGACAAATTAACTGCTGTAAATTTTTAAGCCAAAACCACACCTATGATACAAGTTCCCACCAAATGGTGAGCAACAGGACTGTAGAAGAAATATCCTCTCAATTTGTCTCCCTTGTAGAAACAAAAACAAAATTACTACTTATGGAATGTTTGGACTTTCTTTAAAAAGCATTGCAAAGTATCTGTCAAAGTGGCATGTGACATCTGTTAGTCTGACCCTTGGTGTCTAGTGATTCTCAAAAGTTCCCAGACAAACCAGAATCATCCAAAAGTACAGAGCCAAGAGGAAGAGTCCTCTCTGCCAGAGTCTTTGCGCCTTATAAAATTCTCATCACTGAGCTGATCACAGGATGAAACATTTTTCTTGAAAGCAACAAGTTCCTTAAGGAATTTTAGAGAGACCATTTTTCACAAAGAAATCTGAGTTCCTGTGAATAACTGTGATGATAACTTTTCCATTGTATCACATGAATGTTAATGGACAACCTCAAGTATTTGCATTCATAGACCATGTTAAGTGGTAATTAATTTTGCTGAGTTCATTTGTAAAAAGTCTCAGTTTCCATTTTAACTGACATAAGTTATGACAAATGAAAACCATTAAATCTTTACTATCATTTTAGTCGTTTTTTTTTTCCCCTCTTCTTATTTTAAAGAGTATCTGACTAAATAATGCCTTGTGAGACTTAATTTCAGCCTTCATCTCCTAAATCTGCATCTTCCTTTGGATTTTAGGATGATTTCCAAATTAATGTTTATAAAGATTTATGAAATCACAGAGAAAGAGTTCTGCTAACCATAAAATCAATAGTCAAATTACCAGGATTAAAACATACATTTGCATTTTTAAAAAAGTGAGCAAATGGAAGAATTACTTCAAGGTATAGTTTAGAATAGAAACCTGAATATATGTAATCCTAATGGCTTCCATAGACGTAAAGACACTTTTGAAATTTTTATTGACTGGATGAATCAACAAGAAAGCTTTAATAAAGATGTAATACAGATTTATTATAATCCTGCAATTTTAAAGCCACATCCCAAGAACCATTCACTTAAGGATACAGGTGTTGAACAACTTGTTTTCAAAGATAGGATCATGCATCAGAGAATCCTATTAGGAGTTAGCTAGATCCCAAGAAGTAGATATAGTATGGAAAACCACCTCCCTTGGGAAATAGCTAAGTGCCTGGCATATAACAGACAATGGTAAATGTTTACTAAATTGAACCCATAAATTCAAGGTCTGTATTGGAATCATGAATCCCCCGGTCCCCGAACCCTCCATCTGTCATAGAAAGCTCCCGTCCAGGTGAAATCAACTTGTTGCAAGCCGCTTCTGGCAGCTTAAGAACTCATACATGTGAGTCAGTATTAGCTTCTGTTTTAGTCAGTTTTTTCCCTGCTGTGACTAAAAGAACGCAACCAGAATAATTATAGAGGAGGAAAAGTTTATTTAGGGGCTCATGGTTTCAGAGGTCTCAATTCATAGACAGCAGACTTGATTCCTCAGGGCTCAAGGTGAAGCAGAACATCATGGCAGAAGAGTGTGGCAGAGGGAACCAGTTCACATGATGATCAGGAAGCAGAGAATACGAGAGGTCTCCACTTGCCAGATACAAATATATCCCCAAAGCCATGTCCCCAGTGCCCTACTTCCTGCAGTGACACCCCACCTGCCTTCAGTTACCACTCAATTCCATCGGGAGATTAATTCACTGATTGGATTAAGTCTGTGTGTGACTCCATGATTTTTCCTCCAAACCTTCTTGCGTTGTCTTACATGTGAGCTTTTCAGGGACACCTGGCTTCCAAATGGTAACAACTTCCTTCTACATAACTTCATCCTACAGAGACTGAACCTGTAGGGGGTTATAGCAGGAGCCACTCTCATGGCCTTTGATAACTGGTGGAGGACTTCTGCTGAAGTTGTTGTACATATTACTGAATCAGTCCCCATTTTCAATAAAAATATGATAAAATAGCTCATTATTATTTGCTGATCAGTGGTCACAGTATTTTCTAATTTCATAATTTCATGTGTGAAACTTTTCTTCCCTTAGATATAAAACCAAAGATTAACACTGGCAGTCTGGCCTGGCTTGTCCCTGGTGGGGGGCTCAGCTACTGTTAGGAACACAGCTGGAAGTGGTGCAGCCAGAAACAGGCAGCCCATACCATCTTCCACATCCTGGTAAACTGTTTCCCATGCCACCTAGGTAATGGCCCCAAAATTACTCTTCTGAGGGTCAGCATTTCTTGTTCACAACTCATAAAACTATTACGTAAAACTCCCCAAAATGTATTGAAGTAGGTAGAAAAATGAGTGAATAACCTGCATCTTTATATCACTTTCCAAAGAAGAATCCAGAGACAGAAAGAAGCTGTTAGCACCTGAGACAGCCAAGTTTGATTCATTTGCCATAAAATCCAGAATGAATGAGCAATCTTTGCTAAAAGGAAATGAGATTTTAAAGTCTAATCAGAGGATTTAAGCAAAGTATTAATAAAAGATGCCCCTGCCCCACTTATTGTCTATAGGTCCCAGGAGAAGAAAGAAGAAGCTATCACTCTTCTGAAGGATTCCATTAAATATGGCCCAGAGTTTGCAGATGCATATTCAAGCTTAGCTTCATTATTGGCTGAGCAGGTAATTGTTTCCATTTAATTTCACACCGTATTTTTTTAAATGTGACTGTTAAGTGTATAAATTAATGTTACATAAATTTTTGTACTAATGATTTGACTAATGGTTGGTAAACTTACATTGGACACCTAATCTCTCTATGTCACTTTTCTTCCTGACAGATATGAGAAGCCTAGTTTTCTCATTCTAATATTTTCTTCACAGTGTAGGTGACCTTTAGACAAAGGTGGTGTCTTACTGACCATTAATATGTTTTCTGTAACTTTGAGACTTGCTGTTTTTATTGCTGTTTACTTGTCATATTTTTCTGGGGAATTGACAATGGATTGAGGTCTCTGAACTCAATAGGGAACAAATTAATGACAATCTTGAAGACCCTGTGTCCTCAATACTTGTTAGGAGATAGCAGGTTTGATGGCATTCTAAGAGAAATTTCTCGTTGCATAAAAAAGGTTTGTGTTGAATCTCCTCCTCTTCACTTTTCAAAGTGATTTGATACCACTTTTCAGAATTCTGGACATATGACCCCTTGCTATGGAAAAGTGGAGAGGAGTCAACCTCTCTAAATTGATGAAATAATTTTGTTGACACTTGGAGGTGCCCTTGATAGACAGTGGATTATGCTGTCACACAATTGCCAAATTGTCTTTAAAATCATGCACAACATCTTAGCTAGATGCCTTGCAGCATTCATTCTGCTTAAACGTAAGAAATTATTTTGATGAGGCAGTTACTTAGGGTGCAATTTGCATTTTAAAAAAACTCATAAGTTCCACCAAGAAGCAAAATTAGGACATTCTATGAGTAGTTAAGTGATGGAAATTATGAAAATAGTTTTCTTGCTTTAATAAGTCATCCTCATTATCCCCCTTAGATACCCAACTCTGTGGATGCTTAGATACCCAACTTAATATGCAATGTTATAGTATTTGCATATTAACCCATACACATCTCTAGATTAGTTGTATTACCTAATACAATGCCAATGATATGCAAATAGTTGTTATACTGTACTGTTTAGGAAATTTAAGAAATCAGTACAAACCAGGTGCAATGGTGCACACCAATCTCGGGGTCTCCAGAGGCTGAGGCAGGAGGATCACAAGTTCAAAGCCAGCCTCAGCAACTTAGCAAAGCCCTAAGGAACTTAAATAAAAAATAAGAAGGTCCAAAGATGTGGCTCAGTGGTTAAGCACTCTTGGCTTCAATTTCCAGTAACCATCCCCTACCAAAAAAAAAATCAGTACAAATTCAATTTTTCTTAAGAATATTTTTGATCTGAGGTTGGTTTCTGGCCCCTTCATTTTCCTAAGATCCTCATCCTGCCTCTCTCTGGCCAGTGGTCTTGCTCATGCATGACAAGCTTCTCTCTGGGGACCCTTACAGGAACTCTGCCTGCCACATTTCTCTCCCAGAAGGCCCAGAGTTTCTTTCTTCACATCATGTCAGTTTTTGTCCATGTGTTACCATGTCAAAGGTGTCTTCTGTGATGACTCTTGTATGTAAATAGCAACTTTCCACTGCCTGGATGTTCTCTGACATTTTTTCCTGCTTTACTTTCCCATAGTATTTATCACCATCTAACATACATTTGCATGTTTGTGGTCTTTATGAGAATTGCCATTTTATTCATGACTGTATTCCCATGTCTGTCAAACTGTATGTGACCAGTAGATTTTTGTCTCTACTATGGTACATGTTCTGAATTTTACTCTTATACTGCAAGTGGAGCTGAGCATGTAGGCCACAGTGTTATAATGGAATTGTGTCTCAGCGTGATGATCCTGTCTGACCACGAGAGCCAGTGTGAAACACGGCCATGAGAAATTATCCATTATAACCATAGGCCATCACCCAAGACATCTTTCAGTGACTTTTTTTTTGGACATAATTATATTTCAGTGACTTCTTTATGAGCACTGGAAGGACAAATTGTCTCATGTTTTAGCATTAAAGAAGGTTGAACTTCTCATACATTACAAGGGTTGGTTGGTTTGTTTTATTTTGAAACCAGTGCATGAAAAACCCTGAAACTGCTAGAAAGGATTCACTCTCCCCTCTCCCCTCTCCATCTTGCCTGGACTCACTTCCAGCTGACAACCTTCTAGACTGCATAGTCTGCTTTACTCTGTGTGCATTTTTACTCTTGGGTTTGTCATTTTTAAAACCATTTATTTTATTCAGTTTATATTGTATATTTTTTTTGATATTTTTTTTTATTGTTGGTCGTTCAAAACATTACATAGTTCCTCATACATCATATTTCACAGTTTGATTCAAATGAGTTATGAACTCCCAATT